GTGTGTGTGTGTGTGTGTGTGTGTGTGTGTGTGTGTGTGTGTGTGTGTATGTGGTTTATTGTAGAGACGAAGTCTCACCGAGTTTCCCAGGCTGGTCTTGAACCCATGGGGTCAGGCAGTCTTCTCACCTTGGCCTCCCATAGCGCTGGAATTACAAGCTGAGCTACCATGCCTGGCCCTGATTAAGTTTTAAGGGCTTATGTTAAAACCAATAATTTTATCTGATTATTTTTATTAAAAAGAAAAACACTCTAAGAGAAGGAATCTTCCTTTTAATAAATAATTTCCACAGCCTCTAGAGTATTCTGTCTCATGGCCTTCTTGTATAGATCTCTCCTACTTATTCTTTTACTCCTTGTACATATCTTTTCAGACACCCCCACTTGATTCTCATAGAAAAATATGATTATTCCAGAATACTTACAAGTTGTTAAAAAGTATAAAGCAGCATAAATAAAACTACTTATATAATCCCACCATCTATATAAGCAGCCTGATATTTTGACATAATAACCTTTTATTGCATTTCTCTGTGTATTTAACCTATCTTTGTTTCTTAGTTGTGTTTTCCACCCTATTTCTGTCAGCATTGATAGGGCAGACTCACTTGCTAGCATTATGCCTGCATTGTATCATAAAGCAGGAAGAAAAGTGGACGGAATTATTATTACTTTTTGCAGATCCACCTTTAGAACCTCTACCTTTTCATTGCTGTTACTTGGTCAAACTTATGATGGACATATGAGGAGCTGTCTGAATGTTTTTTCTCCTGCAGCTCTTTCTGCTTTAGTTTATCTCTTCTTGTTTAATTTTTGAAAATCATTTATAACTCTTAATTAAAATATTTTCTCTCATCTTTGGTTTCTTTGATAAAACCCTCTTCTTATTGTCATTTAGCATTCCCTGTGTGAACATTCATTCATGCACCTTTTTTCCCACACATAACGAGCAGGGTTCATGCTTTTGGATAACTCTAGACTTAGCACTTCTCCTTTGTCCTACAGCTTGGACTCATATAGTCATAAAGAGGATGCTTCAGCCTTTCCAGGAAAACGAGCCTTAATTTCATTTCTTTCCTGGTTTGATTATTGCGATCAACTCATTAAGGAAGCCCAAAAGGTTTGAATTTTTTTTGTTTGTTTTTTATTGATATTTTGAAAATGTAAATATCTGCTAAGTGAAATTGGAATCCTTAATTTATATCGCCAAACATATTTTTAATTGTCTTAGAATAGCACACTTAGTGAAATAAGTAAAACTAACAAAAAAGCACGTATGTGTGTTTTTACCATTCTGAAATGAAGTTCAAGTTCTGTCTGTTTATATTTCTCTAAGTATTACAGTACAGTGCTTCACAATGTAACACTGACTTCCCTCCACTTCTGCTCTTTGGGGAGATATTAATACTATAAAGTCATTGTTGTCCTATTCTTATTTTTTAGAAATTTAGAAAAAATATAAGCAACCTAATAATTAACATCTAGTCTAGATTTGTTGCCATCAACAAGAGGGTCAGTAGGCAAGTTTTGTTTTTCCATATTGGTTTAGATGGGAAGTACAAACTGATTTATTGATTTTAAAATTAATCTTTCTTTTTCATTAAAATAAAATGATGCTCATGCTATTTTCTAGACTGCTGCTGTTGCTCTTGCCAAAGCTGTTCGTGAAAGATTTTTCATCGGTATTATGGAACCTCAGTTAATGCAAACGTGAGTAATCTGCTTTCTTTTAAAAAAGAAGAACACTGTGTTCAGTTTTGCCCACTAATTACCTGTTTGTTGTATTCAGTTCTGAGATGGGTATTCTGACATCAACTGCTCTGCTTCATCGCATTGTTCGGCAAGTAACCTCCGATGTTTTGCTTCAAGAAATGGTGTTTTTTATCCTTGGAGAACAGAGGGAACCAGAAACTTTGGCAGAAATTAGCAGACATCCTTTAAGACATAGGTTAATTGAACATTGTGATCACATATCTGATGAGGTAAGCTGCGTAATGATTTAGAATTAGATTATTTGAAATACTTTAATATACTTGTGAGGTTTTTAATACAGCCTCTTTTTTTATGGCTCTAAAAATTGAAAGAATGACTTACAAGATGGCAAGAAGAATAATGTATTTAAAGATATTTTTCAGTTCGCTCTTATCAATTTTGGTTTCAGATAAGCATAATGACATTAAGAATGTTTGAACATCTTTTACAAAAACCCAATGAGCACATTCTTTACAACTTGGTCCTAAGAAATCTTGAAGAGAGAAATTATACGGAATATAAACCTTTGTGCCCAGAAGATAAAGATGTGGTAGAAAATGGATTGATAGCAGGAGCAGTGTAAGTTTCCATCCAACTCTGTGAGTTCAGCATTTCATATAGAGTTAGAGCTTTCTCTCTCCTCTTATCTGTCTCCTTTGCTCTTAAAAAACTACCTGTAACAGTTTAAGTTTATAAAAGTAAAATTAGATTCCCTGATACTGTCATCCTTTTCAATTACAAATGGTAGTAAACATTCATTAAACCTAATAACATAATTAGTATATTCTTGAGTTTATTAGTATAAATGTTAATTTGTCTAGAAAATATAAATAGATGATGCCTTAATCCTTTATTTTAGCAAAATTATATAATATCTTCTAAGAACATGACAGAGAATCTTTTGGTTTAGAAAAATGTCATAATAAAACATTTTTTTAATACATCATTAAATTAAACTTAGAGATCTGGAAGAAGATCCATTATTTACTGACATTTCACCAGATAACACTTTGTCAAACCAAGAGTGGCTTAGTTCTTCGCCTCCTGCTACTCCAGACCACCCCAAAAATGATGGGAAAACTGAAGTCCATAAAATTGTAAATAGGTGAGTTGCTATAGAATTTGACTTGCATCACTTTTACTTGTTTTTATAACATATAGTAGCCCTACTCTTAGATTGTTACAGAAATATATTTTGAAAGCAATCTTCCTTAAAGATTACATCAGCTTTTTTGTCTTGTTTGTGTAACAAGTAACAACCTGGGGACAACAGTTGATATCAAGAGAAAAGCTCCACTTAATATAAAAATAAAAACAAATAACAGCAGTTAAATAAACCCTCAGATATTGTTAATATAGTTACTTAATTTAACGTAATTCTCAATTGTAACATTGGCAATTGCCAGTTTGACAAAATGTACTTGTAAAGCATGTGTGCTAGATGTTGGGCTTGTCCTTTTTGGCAGCGTATATATTCACACTTTTTAAAAAGTGCCCTTTTCTTTTTTTTTTTTTTGAGTTGGAGTCTCACTCTGTCGCCCAGACTGGAGTGCAGTGGCATGCTTCTGGCTACCGCAGCCTCAACCTGCTGGGCTCCAGCCATCCTTCCGCCTCAACCTTCCAAGTAGCTCGAACTACAGGCACACGCTACCATGCCCGGCTAATTTTTTTATTTATTGTAGAGATGAGGTCTCGTCAAGTTGCCCAGGTGGGTCTCGAACCCGCGGGCTCAAGCAATCCACTCACCTCAGCCTCCCAAAGCGCTGGATTACAGACTGAGTCACCGAGCTCAATGCCCTTTTCTATAGCAATTTTCTTCTCTGTTTTTCTTCCCTTGCAATACTGTCACCAATATGCCTGGTTCTGGCAGGTGATTTTAGGAAAAAAAATTGAATATGACTCAAGGTGCAAAATGAGGTGTGTAAAAATCCCAAGTTCGATGACTTCAAAACCAGTTTCCTGAAATTAACAAATTTCAGTCTGCCATTGTGCAACAATCTAAAGAGAAAAAACTTCTTTCTTAGGCATACTTCTATTTTAAGTGGAATCAGTAATTTTTTAATAAAACCTTTATAATAATGAAAGTATTTAATCAGTGTATTGTAAGGCTCATTCAAGATAAGAACTTAATAACATGTATTTTCATTTTTTCAAGTTTCCATTTGTATTTAGCTAAACTTAAACTAGATACTTTAAAACATATAAAGATGTTAATGAATTGTGAGAGTATTTGTGTTTTTGATTATGGCCTTTTTCTTTTAAGTTTTCTCTGCCTGGTACCTGATGAAGCAAAATCGTCCTATCATGTTGAGGGCACTGGATATGACACCTATCTCCGAGATGCTCATAGACAGGTAAGTGAAGTAACTAATTCTGGGAAATGAAATCTCAGAACACACACACACACACACACACACACACACACACCACATCACATCGCCTTCTGCCATTTCTCAACAACAACAACAAAAAAATGACTGCATTCTTAGTAAAATTGAGACCCGCTTTATGCAGGTGACCTTAGTTTGCATTTCCCTGACTGTCTGTCTCTGTCTCAAGATTTCTTTGTGCTCTTTTTTTTCCCACTTAAATTATGTCTCACCTAAATCCATCTCCCCTACTGATCCAAAAAGTGGCAACTTAATAATTTTACCCCAACTACTCTTGTTCCTTGTCCACAGGCTGGTATCCTTTACTCCCTTTGCCCACCATTTTTATGCAAACAGTGATTCACAAGCACAGTCCCTGCTGCTCAGTTCTCATTCCTCAGTCCCAGTGTTCTACCTATATGCTTCACTAAAATGTCTTACCCAAAGGTCTGCTCTTAGTTACTAAGTTAAGGGGATTTTTCATTCTTCTTTCCTTTTTATAGCTTTTGTTTTTTTTTTTTTTTATAATTAATCAGTATTTTTTATTATGGTTTTGTGGGGTACAGTTAAGGGTTAGGTGTACAATTATGTTTCATTCAGGCACCCTGTTGATAAGAGGTGTTTTCCCAGCCCCAGACAGATGTTTGCTACTGTTAATCCCATCCCCCTCCCCCCCATAGTTTCCCAGTACCGTCAGTCATTTTCTTATAGTATTACATTGGATGTTCAAGG